TTGAGGTTTTCATGAGCTGTAAGCCATAATCATCACAATTATGACAAATCACGGCTTGAACTATCTTGCTTTGCATGTAATGAGTCTCTCTCATATATTAGTTTCACCTTTTAAGTTGCATTAGTGAAATAAATGAACTTTTGCACAATATTCTAATTATTCGAGTTTCACCTGTAAAGGGGCAATGTAGTGTGTTCTGTGACTGCACGTTCTGAGCGATTATTGGAACATTTCATTTATAGTCATTTTTGATGTCATGTTTATACACTATATTGCCAAAAGTATTGGGACGCCTTTACACGCACATGAACTATAATGGCATCCCAATCTTAGTCTGTAGGGTTCAATATTGAGTTGGCTCCGCCCTTTGCCGCTATAACAGCTTCAACTCTTCTGGGAAGGCGTCCACAAGGTTTAGCAATGTGTCTATGGGAATGTTGGACCATTTGTGAGGTCAGGTACTGATGTTGGAGGAGAAGGCCGGGCTCGCAGTCTCTGCTCTAATTCATCCCAAAGGTGTTCTATCAGGTTGAGGTCAGGACTCTGTGCAGGCCAGTCAAGTTCCTCCACCCCAAACTCCCCCATCCATGTCTTTATGGACCTTGCTTTGTGCACTGGTGCGCAGTCATGTTGGATCAGGAAGGGGCCATCCCCAAACTCCTCCCACAAAGTTGGGAGCATGAAATTGTCCAAAACGTCTTGGTATGCTGATGTCTGAAGGCTGGGTTCACACCTGGGCGTTTTTCAGCGCTGATCGAGCTGAAATCCTATTAATTCCTATGGGCATGGTTCCCACCTGGGCGTATTTCAGGCCGTTTTATCGCGCTGAAAAACGCGCTACACGCGAAAAAGTACTCAAGCTTCTTTTTCGCGCGTAGGGGCAGATTTCAGCGCGTATCTATTGGTATTCCCGAGTGTGGCTCGGGGTTAATTTTCTGTACCAAAGCAGTAACCCCGAGCCACACTCGGGAATACAGCGTAGGTCTTACCTTGTCTGCCACTGCCGGCATCCTCCGGCCACTGCCGGCATCCAGGCCTCCAGGTTCTGTCCCTTGCGAGCGTCCGCGTCGCAGGGGGGCGGAACCGGCGGGAAGTTTAAAAGTAAAAAAAAAATACGAATAACAGATGGGGAAAAAAATTAAAAATCATGCCGCCTGGGAGGTTAAAAAACTCGAACGCGCGTTTCATTGGACAAAAAAAACGTGCTTCAAACACAAGGGCAAAAACGGGCATAAAACGCGCCTATTAGGAACGCCCAGGTGTGAACCCAGCCTAAGAGTTCCCTTCACTGGAACTAAGGGGCCAAGTCCAACCCCTGAAAAACAACCCCACACCATAATCCCCCCTTCACCAAACTTTACACTTGGCACAATGCAGTCAGGCTAGTACCGTTCTCCTGGCAACCGCCAAACCCAGACACGTCCATCGGATTGCCAGACAGAGAAGCGTGATTGGTCACTCCAGAGAACACGTCTCCACTTCTCTAGAGTCCAGTGGCGGCGTGCTTTACACCACGGCATCCGGCACTTTGTATTGCACTTGGTGATGTAAGACTTGGATGCAGCTGCTCGGCCATGGGAACCCATTCCATGAAGCACTGTTGTTGTGCCAATCTGAAGGCCACATGAAGTTTGGAAGTCTGTAGATATTGACTCTGCAGACAGTTGGCGACTTGTGCGCACTGTGCGCTTCCACATGCGCTGACCCCGCTCTGTCATTTTACGTGGCCTACCACTTCGTGGCTGAGTTGCTGTTGTTCCCAGCTGCTTCCACTTTGTTATAATACCACTAACAGGTGACCGTGGAATATTTAGTAGCAAAGAAACCTCACGGAACACCTGAATCCAATGATTTGGAGGGTGTCCCAATACTTTTGGCAATATAGTGTATTTGCTGATCAGTATTTTAATATTATTTCCTATCCAGATCTATAGACTTTCCCCTCTGTGTTTCTTTGTGTATCAGGCTATGCACCATCCCTGCTATACAGTTGCTGAAGTGAAGGGGGTGAGCCACGTAGACAGTACAGAGCATTCAGTCTAAGCAGGCCCCCATGTATATACAGAGAGGAGCAGTACAGCACAACCATTGTGCAGCATTACTAGGCAGGAAGCAGTGCCCGCACATTGAACATTTGGATAGCTCTGTCATATTCTGCAGTGCAGTACAGAGAACACTGAGCCAGTTACATCAGCCTCTGTACCAGAGAAGCTTACACTCTAATGTTCCCCACATTCTCACACACTATTATTACTAATTTATATAGTGCTGACATATTCCTAAGCGCCGTACAGAGAACAGAGAGCCAGTCACAGTATTTTCTGCACTAGAAGAACTTACACTCTTATGTCCCACCACAGTCACACACTGGTATTATTATACATTTATATAGTTCTGACATAACCCATGGTGCTGTACACAGCGCACGCAGCCAGTCCCATTAGTCTCTGCACCAGAGGAGCTTACACTTTAATGTCCCCCCACAGTCACACACTATTATAATACATTTATGTAGCTCTGACATATTCCGTAGTGCTGTACAGAGAACACTGAGCCAGTCACATACATTTATCTAACTCTTAGTACAGTGCAGCAGATAATATGGTCATGGCAGCCACATGCGTCCTCTGGCAGTGAACAGGTTAAACTTCTTTGCTTTCTCTATTATTTTCGGTGTTTACTTCCTGCTCTCGGTTAGTTATTTCCTTTTTCTTGTTTTCGCATTTCTATGCAGCACCTGTATGTGAGCGGTCTGATGTATGGAACTGCTGGTGTGCATGCCTGAAGTCTCTGATGGGGACATTATCACTCTAGGTGTCAGTCTAGGGACCGCCTGTGGGCATGGCCTGCCTCTCTCACCATTGGCGGGCTTCTGTGACGTTGGCCTTTAGGAGGGGGGAGGCTCCAGATGGCAGTTGTTGTGCTCTGTGAAGAGTCAGAGGCTACTGTCAGCTGTAGGACAATAGGGAAGGATCAAACTGCAGGATAATCACAGATCAGGTCTGTGTGTCTCCCTCCGTCTCCTTCACTGACCTTTTGTCTTGATGTCCTTCTGTCTTGCTGACTCTCTGTCTTGCGGTCCCTCTCTCTTGCTGACCCTCTACCTTGCTGTCGCTCTCTCTTGCTGACCCTCTACCTTGCTGTCGCTCTCTCTTGCTGACCCTCTACCTTGCTGTCGCTCTCTCTTGCTCACCCTCTGTCTTGCTGACCCTCTGCCTTGCTGTCCCTCTCTTTTGCTGTCCTACTGTCTTGCTGTTCCGTTGCCTTTCTAGCCTTCTGTCTTGCCGACCCTCTGCCTTGGTGTCCCTCTGTCTTGCTGTTCCCTTTGCCTATCAGTTTTGCTCTCTCTCCTCCTCTGATTTACACCACTGCGATAGAACTGCCAGTCTCTTTGCAGCCAAACCTGCCCTTGCCCTGCCACTTGGCAAAAGGTGCTGCTGCTCGCGCCAGCACATAGCGGCTCTTGAGGCAGACACTTGCAGCGGTGGTGAGGCGTGAACTCAGATTACACACTGCCAGCCCAGAGGGGACTCTCAGTAAGTAATTACTGTAACAGTTATGTAAAAGTCCATTTTAAAACTGTTGGTGACATTGTTGCATGTTTGCTGTTCCATATTTTCATGGCCATATTTCATGTGTAGATTTGTAGATTCTCCCTCTGTGTGTATCAGGTGAAAAACTGCTCCACCTCCCATCAGACTATTTAGAAGCACTGGTGCTCAGCCTGGGCTTCTGTCCATCCACAGACCGTAAAATGAAGAAAGCCATTACACGGCAACAGGTCCTTGCAAGTATTTATTTCAAAGCAAAGAAACAGCTCCGGACAATCATTCTGACGCGTTTCTCCCTATAAAGAGGCCTCAATTATAGGCATGTAAGCAGAAGCGCATCAGCATGATTGTTGCTGTGTGCTGGCTTTCTTTGTTTTATGGTATTAGGTGAAAGCATTTATCACTGTCATCAAATGAGTGCTGACTGAGGATTCACCATAAAGCCAATGATACCAGGACAATGTACGATCTCTGAGCAGAGTGATGGAAATATATTCAGGGAAAGGAGGAGTAAAGTGCACGTCCTTCCACAGCTCAAATTCAACTCAACTTCCTTCTGAAAAAGCTGAAATTCGAGCAGTGCACGGCCAGTTTAAGTTCCATTAAGGGGAATTTCCTTCACTTTCTTTCTTGTGACACAACAGGAAGTAGGGTTGCCACCTTTTCTTCAAGGCGAAACCCGACCACTCTAGCCACGCGTGGACATTTTTTTGGGAGAATGAACCGTGGCTTATTCATATGTAAATAGCGCCACCCATTCATATGTACACTATATTGCCAAAAGTATTGGGACACCCCTTCAAATCATTGGATTAATTTATTCCGTGAAATTTCCTTGCTACTAAATATTCCACGGTCACCTATTATAACAAAGTGGGAGCAACTGGGAACAACAGCAACTCAGCCACGAAGTGGTAGGCCACGTAAAATGACAGAGTGAGGTCAGCGCATGCTGCAGTGCGCAGAAGTCGCCAATGTCTGCAGAGTCAATAGCTACAGACCTCCAAACTTCGTGTGGCCTTCAGATTGGCACAACAACAGTGTGTGGAGAGTTTCATGGAATGGGTTTCCATGGCGGAGCAGCTGCATTCAAGTCTTCCAAGGCATCAGCATACCAAGACTGTTCCAACATGACCGCGCATCAGTGCACAAAGCAAGGTCCATAAAGACATGGATGAGTGGGTTTGGGGTGGAGGAACTTGACTGTCCTGCACAGAGTCCTGACCTCAACCCGATAGAACACCTTTGGGATGAATTAGAGCGGAGACTGCAAGACCGGCCTTCTCGTCCAACATCAGTACCTGACCTCACAAATGGTCAAACATTCCCATAGACACATTCCTAAACCTTGTGGACGAAGAGTTGAAGCTTCTATAGCGGCAAAGGGTGGGCCAACTCAATATTGAACCCTACGGGCTAAGACTGGGATGCCATTAAAGTGCATGTGTGTGTAAAGGCCGGTGTCCCAATACCTTTGGCAATACAGTGTAAATATCACAGTCGAGACTATTTTCAGTCGGGGGCCAGTAGCCCCTATCTTAATTTTGGTTGCCCCTGTCTGCGTGACATCTTGTGTCCGGGTTTCTGTTGCCATGCAACCGGGACACAGCATTCAAAACCTGGACTGTCCGGGTTAATCCTGGGCAGGTGGTAACCCAAACAGGAAGTGATAGGAAAGCTCTGCAAACAGAGGGGTTACCCTCTGACTTTTTATACTCCTGCAGTAAAGATCTCTAATTTAGTTCATGGCTTGGCATATAAGGTTTCTTTAACCTTCGAGTATTTTCACTCCTTATGTGATATCCTTACTACTTTAAGGGCCAAAACACACTTCTCCGCTACATTGCGTTGCAGTAACACACACATTAACGTGCATTGGCGTGTTGCAGTGCCATTAATTTAGCATTGCATTGAACCATAACCCACGGTAATGGTGCGTTGTGTTTCGCTGTGTTGCCAAAAATGGTGCATGTCGTATTTTTCATTTGAACAGTCTGCCCTAATGCAAAGCATGTGCACATGTGCTAACGCACATGCATTAACACAGTGAGTGCACCAAGACACCAAGTTCTGAATAACAGGCATGCATTCCTGAGAATTCAGGTGCAGAGGTATCACCACCAAAGTCATGAGAAATATAAAGAACTGTTAGGTGGTGTGAATTGAGGGCACACTGATAGATTAGATAGATTTTCTCAGTCAATAAAGACCCGGGGCCCTCATTAAAAAAAACTTGGGGCACCAATTAAGGACCCAAGACACTCAGTAGAAGACCTAGGACATTCAGTAAAAGACCATGGGCACTTAGTAGAAGACCATGGGCACTCAGTAGAAGGCCGGGGACACTCAGTAGAAGACCATGGGCACTCAGTAGAAGACCATGGGCACTCAGTAGAAGACCGAGGATGCTCAGTAGAAGACCATGGGCACTCAGTAGAAAACCCAGGGCACTGGTATCGGACCCAAGCCACTCAGTAGAAGATCCAGTCACATAATAGAAGACCCAGGGCACTCAATAGAAGTCCTGGGACACTTAGTAGAAGATTCAGGGTACTCAGTAGAAGACCCAGGACACTCAGCAGAAGACCTGGGACATTCAGTAGAAGACCATGGGCACTCAGTAGAAAACCCAGGGCACTGGTATCGGACCCAAGCCACTCAGTAGAAGATCCAGTCACATAATAGAAGACCCAGGGCACTCAATAGAAGTCCTGGGACACTTAGTAGAAGATTCAGGGTACTCAGTAGAAGACCCAGGACACTCAGCAGAAGACCTGGGACATTCAGTCGTAGACCATGGGCACTCAGTAGAAGACCCGGGGCACTCAGTAGAAGACCATGGGTACTCAGTAGAAAACCCAGGGCACTAGTAACAGACCCAAGCCACTCAGTAGAAGATCCAGTCACACAATAGAAGAACCAGGGCACTCAATAGAAGTCCTAGGCAACAACAGAAGACCATGGGCTTCAGTAGAAGTCCTGAGACACCGGTAGAAGACTTAGGGCACTAGTAAAGGGCACAAGGCACTAAGCAAAAGATCAAGGGCACTCAATAGAAGTCCTGGGACAATCAGTAGAAGATTCAGGACACTCAGCGGAAGACCTGGGACACTCAGTAGAAGACCATGGGCACTCAGTAGAAGACCATGGGCACTCAGTAGAAAACCCAGGGCACTGGTAAAGGACCCAAGCCACTCAATAGAAGATCCAGTCACACAATAGAAGAACCAGGGCACTCAATAGAAGTCCTAGGCAACAACAGAAGACCATGGGCTTCAGTAGAAGTCCTGAGACACCGGTAGAAGACTTAGGGCACTAGTAAAGGGCACAAGGCACTAAGCAAAAGATCAAGGGCACTCAATAGAAGTCCTAGGCAACAACAGAAGACCATGGGCTTCAGTAGAAGTCATGAGACACCGGTAGAAGACTTAGGGCACTAGTAAAGGGCACAAGGCACTAAGCAAAAGATCAAGGGCACACAATAGAAGAACCAAGGCACTCAGTAAAGGTCCTAAGCAGCAACAGAAGCCCTTGGACTTCAGTAGAAATCCTGGTACACTGGTAGAAGACCCAGGCACTATCCAGAAGACCAATAGGCAATATCCTGGACACCAGTAATAGACCTAGGACACTAGTAGAAGAAACAAGTCTCTCAACAGAAGCACTTGTATTCAACCCTGGGCACTTAGTAGAAGACTTTGGACACCAGCAAACGAAATGGGGTATTCTGTAGAAGGCTCATGGCACTCAGCAGAAGATCTGGAGCACTCAGTAGCAAACCCAGGGTACCAGTAAAGGACCCAAAACACTCAATGAAAAATCCAGAATATGCAGTAGACTTCTCAGCACTTCTCTTGTTCTGTATGCTATGTGTAATTCTCAGTAACTGTTCTTATTTGGTATGAATGGATGCTGCACAATGCCACCTATACTGTAAAGCTGGCCATACACCTATAGCTTTTCTATAGATTTTCTATGGTCAGATGGAAAAAGTGCAACAGATTCCTTCATCTACGTGAAAATGTGTGGATGTCGGAATCTCCCACTGAGCCAAGCTTCAGTATCTTGCCAGTCGGCCCCGCAGGCTCTTAAAACACCTGAACAATGCCTGCATCCAATCAGATTGTTCAGGTATTTTCATAGCCAGTGGGGCCGACTAGCAAGATACTGAAGCTTGGCCCAGCGGGAGATTCCTCCATCCACACAGTTTGGCGTAGATGGAGGAATCTGTTGCACTTTTTCCATCTGACCATAGAAAATCTGCAGATAATCTATAAGTGTATGGCCAGCTTAATGTTGATGTATTATATCCAGCAGGGGATCAAGGGATGAAGCTGAATGCTGTGGTCTAGAAGGTGTTACTATTCATCCATTGTTTTCCCTCTCACCTGCCTTGTTAATTTATGTTACAAAACTTCCTCTTTCTAATGAATGAAATTCTCTGACCTGCTGCCAAACTTGCAGGAGAAGTCAAATCTTCTCTGCCCTGTAATGCTCTTTAATTAACCTAAGCAGCCACTGGTGCCTTCCGCATCATAAACCTTTCAGAAAAATCTGCAGCTTTATCCTGAAAATGGAGCAAAAGCAATCCACATAAATTACCTTTAACAAGAACATGTTTCCTGCCTGCTGAGTCAGCATGTGAGCTCTCTGACCGGCTCTGCTTGTTTCCAATGATTCTTTAACCCCTTTATGACTAGGCATACAGTATATCCTCCCTTTATGGACAGAAGTGAGTCGATCAAAGGTCAAGTAATATTTTTGTTCTCAGACACAACAGCGTAATAATAGGGCTGAGCAAAACGTTTTCTGAAATGTTGGGGGAAATTTGCAGCTTTTGGCGAAAATTCTACCATTTGCAAAGTTGACTCATTCCAGTGTCAGCTGAAAGTCATTGCTCTTGACTGGCTTCCTGAGAGTGACACCAGCGGGCCACACCTGAGCAATGTCTCAACACAGTTGTTTGTAGTCTCCACCAGGGGCAA